TGCTCTTTGTTATTGAAATGATAATATGTCAATGTTGTGTTTACAGCTTGTAGTGCCAAACAGGGCCGTAGCCAAGATTTTAGAAATGGCGAGGTCATGAGTCTGAGCACTGCTTATGGGGGTTTGGGGGCATAATATTTATCTAAATTAATAATATACCAATATATAATATTCTCTTCAAAATAGGAACAAAATGTAAATGCAATTCTTATTTGCAATAAAATAAAAAGAAGAGGTATTTGCTCAGTTATCAATAAATTATAGTTATAAATTAGGTATCACTGAAACACTTTGATAATAATCACTAGACAATTATCTGTCTGTGCCTCATTTTCTGTGTGGAAAGATTCTGATAAATGAAGGCGCAGCATTAGAGAACAAAAGGAATCAGGAAATATTTAGCAGCACAGTGACTCAGAAGAGGCTGACTTCTTCATCATCATGAACCCCATCACTTTTGGAGTAGCTTATATCACAGCTTATATCAGTGTGACTGCAGTAAGGTAGGCTGATTGTTAATTCAAAGCTGCTGCTGAAACATGTTTCAATAGCATGTAGATTCATTTGTTTGTGAGCTCAGATCTTGAACAAACACAGTGTTGACTGATCTTATAGCAAGTGTCGTGTGTATGTAGGTTACAGCCCCCTCGCCAACGGAGTGAAAATAATGACGGGAATGTATGTGTGCAGCTTGTTACACGTATGTCACATAATCCGCACACAGCTGTTGAGCTCCCACGCAAACACATAAAGGACAGAGACAGATGTTTTAAACTCCTGATTATACACTGATATAGCGCAGATTTGTTATTTTACATTTAGCTTTTTAGGAAATAATTACAGAGGTCCGGACCTCATAGCTGGCTGAGGTCCGGACCAGCAAGACTGTGCTCAAAAATTCCCCAAATAAATTAATGCTGGTTTGAACCCCTCTGCTGTAGGTACGTGTAAACAGACAATTGTTTAACTGTTAGCTAACATGTAGGCCACAACAATTGTTTTTTTTAAGCATTTATTGATAGTGACAGCTGAAGAGAGACAGAGAGAGGGGATGACACGCAGCAAAGGGCTGCAGGTCGGATTTGAATTCTGGGCCACTGGAGCAAGGACTTAGCCTTGGCACATGGGGCACCAGCTCTAGCAGGCGACTTAACCGGGTGCCTCCTGCCACAACAATTGTATAAGAGATAATGTTTCCAAGCTGTGCCTGTCCACTTGTTAAAATCATCTGCCCCCTAGAGCCCAAAAAGCGATAAACATAGCTTTAAAGATGTTTCTTTATATGATTAGACTGTTTAGAAATGTGTTTTTAACCCTCAGAAAGAGTTCCCCAGGAGCTATTTATTCTATAAAAACTCTATTTCACCCCAATTGCTACACCACTTTTGCACTCATCCATCAGTGTAAGTTTATGGTGGGAAAAAAGACAAAATAGCACTTATACATGCAAAAGATGTTTGCATCTCAGAATGGGGGAAAGAAAACATCTCATTCCAACGTTCTGTCATTTCCTACAGTGCATCCCTTCGCCCACTGACACCACAGACTGGCAGCACTGTTGTATTTGCACATCCTCTGACAGCAGACAATCTGGACTAGAAAGTAGGTGGTTTGAAATCTGACAAAGGAGAGATCCTCCTCAGGGCAAATACAAGGTAAAAAACTGCAGTTTGCATGTTTGTCTCGTCGCTATAAATGTTCCAAGCCACATGCAGACATTCAGTGAGCTCACAGGTCCGCCAATGCCGTTCATAGGGCCCACAGCTGTGCAGGGTAATGAGGGATAGGGATAGGGAGGGGTGCCACACAGGCCAGTAGGGAGCAGCTTGTTAGCATAGTCCTCTGCCAGAAAAGGTGTTGCTGAGTTTCTGTTGCAATTTAATTGGACGATCCTGTCAGCGTGTTTGTCTCTATAGGACAAGATGTCAGTGACTTTCAGGCAGCTCTGCAGACAACACACTGCCATCTACAAATTAACAATGTGGGCATGAATAAGTCTCTGCTGCCAGCTTGGATAATGTTTTACAGATTTTTATATTTGACACGTTTTGACTGTTGAACGTCAAAGTTTGCTGTAAGATCTCTGCAAGAACTGTCCTCTAATTAAATAAAAGTGGAAATTCAAACTACTTTACCTGTCTCTTATATTGCAGGTGTCAAACTGAAGCTCATTATAATTGCCCAGCAATCCTTGCTGTGCTTGATTGAGATCCTTCGGCTGCCTGTTGATGAATATGAGCCGCATGCACCCCTGGAAGGCCGGAGTCAGGTGCTGACAGTCTGTGGTGGGACAGCCTGGAAGAGAATGACACATAATGCAACCTTTAGTTTTACTGTACAAACACAGTGTAAGAAGTATCTTAGGTTATCTTAACATTGCTGCGAGAATCCACCAACCTCCAAAGTAAAAGCTGCCTCTCGATTCCAGTTGTTCCCACAGTTCAATAGGGGAGCACGGCTCACCATCCACAGTCAAAGTGATTTGTAGATTCTTAGTGTCGAGACTCACAGAGTGCCACAGACCGTTGTTGACTCTGTGACCTGAAGAAGAACATTTCACATTAAATCTCAGTGAAATGGCAAACAGTTTAGTGGTATGCAGCACAAAAAGAGATTTGCTGTGTCCATTTTCCTGTAGACCTGGAGGCTGTGAGGAATTTCCACCACTGCATTCTGCTTTATCTGAGTGTGATATAGTCGGTTTAATCAAAGATATACTTCTAATTTCTAATAGCTGCCATTACTGCTGTCAAAATACACAAACTCCCTCTCAGCACAGTTCCTTCGGACAGTTGTTGTCACCCGACACAGTCACAGAGCCTCCTCCGTGGCTCTGAGCATCAAAACAAAGATTTCTCCCACCTCCGCTCTGTCACTTGTCGACAACATTCTTACTGTGCATTTTATCATTCAGATGAGGTTAATGTGCAAATGAGGAGGAATGACTCTAACATCTGCTTCTTTGGGTTTGTTCATCATTGTGACAAACTGAACTCAACTACTGCATTTTAAACTTTTACTGTTTATCTACGGATTATTATGCTGTTACTGTAACTTTACTGCCTTTTTTTGTTATTCAATATTATGTCTGACCATCTGCAACATTACACTGTTGCCAACATGTTTATCCCTCAGAATAATCAGATAATGTAATATAAAATAACCGTGACAGGAAGAATTTTGCTTGCATATTAAACACTTTTGATACTTTTAAGGTGAAGGTCAAAAATCTGTATCATCTTCACTGTGCAGAATGATGTATCAGAGTTCCCACTCTTTTTAAGAAATCATTTTCCAGGGCATTTTTCAGGAGTTTTTCTTTACACATCATTTATTGGTAGGCCTAGTGTTAACTCCAGTTTTAAGTGTCTCAGGATTGCTGCAAGTCTGTTCCACTCCGCGTCCGCTGTGAACAGCTAGATTGACTGATGTGGCTGAAATAAAAAGGGAGCGTCTGAACCATTTTTCTGTTCCACCACCTTCAAGTTTCAAGGATGCGTGGTAACCCTGTGTATGTTGGACACTAATTGAAAATCAGATTTAAGCAGGATTTGTGAAAAATAGTTTGGAAGTTTACACATGCACTGAGAATAAAATGAATACATTTACATTGAAGTAGAAGACATCTTGTGTCCAGCAGGAAAAACCATATCAGACACACATTATTGTTCCAAACAGACTATTTGTATGTGACTTTATACATGTCTGGAGGAGATCTTTAAATACATTTTAAAGATTAGATTTGATGACATGATACAGAAGTGTTTTTATATTACAGTATTGCTTCGTATACATTAATTTGACAACTTAAAGGATCAGAATACTTTCTCTGCCACTGACTCCAGCCAACAACTGGACTGTTTTGGATGATGTATTAGTATAAATGTCCATTACGTGTAGGATATAGTAATTGTACAGTAAAAATTTTTCTGTTGCCATGAATGTTCACTTTTTACACAAATTTACAACTAAATCACCTTTAACCATGATCTCTTTCCAAATATAACCACTCTGATGCTCATTAGGCAAATTTCCTGTCCACTTTCTGGAACAGGGTATAAAACTAGCTCAGATATTCTCATTATAAATTGTGCTCTTTCATCCAACTTTTTTTTCCATAACTCCCCTTCTGTTAAAAGACCAGAAACCTGATCTTTGCATTTTAAAACAATTGACCGTTTGCTTAACCCAATATTTGTTACCTGAAATAAGTTTAAACCCATTCAGTCTTTAAAAAAATCTATTAAAACACAAAAATGATGAGTAATAAGCCTTCTCGGCTTTATCTACAAACCATTTTTTTTAAAATGACAGCTCATCTCACAGTCCATTCTGAATGTGTTGGACGCAGACTAAATTAGCATTCAGATTGAGCTGTGCTGTGGTTTGGGAGCTCAGAGGGGGCAAGGCGGTCACGCAGGGTGCACATTGGGAGTTATTTTAGTTCGTCTAAAATCAGATCTGTCCAGGCTCCTGGGAAAACTTGACAATTTCACTCACAATTCAATGATGCCTTACAGCACAACCTTTTATTCCAGAAGACTGTGAATGCCATGGGTGTTTTTTTTCTCCACCCCATTGACTGTTTCATGGAAAAAGCAGTGCAGCCGCGAGGGATTGCTGGTGAGCATCAGTGGGAGTTTCCCTTCCCCCTCTTTCAGCTCATGTATACAGCATCTCATCGTCTCCTTGCTGTCCTGCTGCTGACCAAGCTTGAAGTGTCAAAGTACTATCCAGGACACATATATTATGTTTTTGTATCACATTAGTGACCTGCATGACAGTAGCTCGAAAAGAAAAACAACATTTCCCTATTCTTCTGCAAGAGACTATATCTCTGAGCCCCATGTGCTGCCTCCAGGAAATACACACTTTTATGTGTCAGCGTCATGTCATTACTGCTCCGAGCCACAATGACAGTCCTCGACAACCCCGACTGGCAGCAGATGCAGAGTGAGGTGAATGAAACAAAAGCTCATTTGGGTGCTGCTCCCCCATCATACACCTGTGTGTCTCCTGGTTTGACAAAGATGTTTTGCTTGTGTGAAAATCAAGCCAGTACTGTTGGTGCAGATAATTTCATGAGCCGAACAGAAGAAGATACAGATCAATATTCTTTCCACATTAACGCTGTTGTGCACTTAGCTCAAGTGCAGCACTTTATCAAACAGAGCCAGTCGCCATTTCATCTGAAGCTATTCTATTGTCTTCACCCATCTAACGAAAAACTAAACAGGTTCCAACAATGAGGTAATGTTTCTAATAAAACTGAAAAGTGAGAATGGAAGGTTAAATATAAAAATTAAATTATTTGCAACAACTCTGACAAGCCCTGCAGCTCATATTAATGAGTTTAATGACACCCCTGCAGCTCTATATTTGACATTGCTGTTGCTGTTGTACCACGGGATGAGAATGGTGAGAAAAGTAAGCATACTTTATAATCGAACTTGACTTACTATTAATTACAAGATTCACAACTGTGTTTTTTCTGAAAAACAAAAAAGTATAATTTGCACATTAAAATCCTTAAAAAGTTATCTCCTCCTTCTAACTTATTAAACCTTTCAGAATCTCTAAATATGCAAATGTCTAAAGTGGACATAAACTGGACCTTTAATTAGTAGACAAAGTTGATTTTCTTTTAAAAACGCAAAAAATCACTTAAATAACTAACATTGATTTGAGATGTTAAATATCAGATTTACAGTGGATCAATGCACATATAATTTAAATCCAATGGCACGAAGCATTAGATAGAACTCCTGTTATAAAAAATGTTACTGAGCACAGAGAAACTTTCCACTTTCAGCGGATAAAACATCCTTCTACTGTCAAACTCTGCACATACATCATTCTGCACAGTGAAGATCAAACGTCACACTGCAGGAACTAGAAAAAAAACTGATGTTTGAGCGGAGGGGGGATTTAACTTAAAAGAACCCTAGTCCTGCACAGCACACTTGTGTTTACTCAGCCAGCTGCACTTCATGCACCACAGGAACAATAAAGATTTTTCAGGAATGAGTCCAGTTTTCTCTGCTTGGATCTTTTTGGATATGATTCAGCACACATCCATCATAGATAATATTTCCAGCTGCTCCCAGTACCAGGCTCTCTTTTCACACAGATCTACTTTTACTTTGGGGTCCTAATGAAATGAAAGGATTTGCCACATGTCTGTGTCTGATGCAACACATTCACACAGGATGAGTCTGCCTTTTACAGACTCGATCCCAGAGATTATCGCTCAGTACGTTTAAAATGTAAGCAGCCTCCGAGTGTGCTGAGTGGCTGGATGAGCACCCTGAATTTTTAACCAAGATGCTATCAGAGCTCTTGCTCGATAATAATTTCAGCTGTGACCTCCAGAAATCCACCCAATACATAGATAAATACTTCAAATTACTGAGAAGTCAATTCATATCAAACTAATATCGGACTATGTCTCTACTCTGTTAAATTCATTTGCAGTAAAACTTTTATTTACTCTTGTTTTTTGTTATTGCAAAACAACAAGAAGTCTCCAGGTCACACTCCACATGTGCTGCAGCTCTAAGGCTGATAATCCCTCGGGCAGATAGGTAATTTAATGCAGCTTGAGGTAAATTATATAAAAGGGAATATCGTCCCTTAGCTGTGTTTGTCTTCTCAATCTATATTTCCCTGCAGCCCGCCATCTGCTCAAAGTCTGGCTTCCCCAAACAATCATGGTTATCTGCATTATCTTTGCTAAGCAATCCCATACAGAGAATTGAATGATATTTTTTTTTGGAGTTTATTGAGGACAAAGGTGATAAAACTAAGTTGGATAAAAAGACTTTCGCAAACCACCATAGTCTCCATGCCATGCATTAGGGCAGCACTGTATTTCTTTATACCAGAGTGGAGCAGACAAACGAGCAGCCAGGTGGAGATGGTGCAGTCCATATTGCAGAAAGGGCATTGTGGGGTCAGCATGCTTGTGTGTGTGTGTGTGTGTGTGTGTGTGTGTGTCTCTCAAGGTCC